CTCGTATTCAGGGTTTTTTCCCTATTTTACTCACAATTCTACTGAAAAACTTAATTTAAACGGAGAACTGTGTGCGTTGAAGAAAAGAACGTAAAGAAAAAATGAAAATTCATGTATAAATTCTTCCTTTGTTGCCAAATTTTCGAGAATAATCGTACTAAAGAGCCAAACATTTGAAAAATTGGATAAATCCCCACGCCATAGTTTATGAAAGTGGGGCATAGCTTTCATATTGACGTACTTACGTAACAGATCTTACCTATCTTACCTATCTATACAACATATTAAAAAAGTATAGTTGTATTTGGATTCCCACGATCCGAAAATTGTCCGGGATGTCACCTTTTGCGGCCTTTTCTTATGTGTAAGGTAGATCTTACGAATGTTTTTCGACCTTTAGTCATCCTCCATAGGAGTGTATTGTTTGTATTTGTGCTGTAATTTTCATTTTTGAAAAGAACGTAAAAAAGTACATCATTAACGTTCGTAGGAACTTACTCTTACGTTGCCAAATTTTCGAGAAAAATCGTCCTAAAGTGCCAAAAATTGGATTAATCATGGCCAAGACGTCTCTAGGAAAGTGAATTATGACTTCGACCTAATTTTATAATTATAATTATATAAGTATGACTTAATGCTACGGGCCACTTACGTAACATGAGAGGCTGCATGAGAAGAGTATCCCACAATTGAGGAGCATTCCGGAAAAGGGGCACATACGCGTAGTTGCCCTTTATCGGAGAAGACAGAAATGGATTCCTCGAATCCTAATGTACCAATGTCTCGAGTTTCAGCTTAATTGATCAATTTTTGGAGCTACGAGACCACGTTTTGTGAGGCTAACAATAAGTCAGGGGTCACAGACGTATTTCATCTATTTGCCTCTGGGTACAGTCACCGCGACGTTGAGGAGATAGCGCGCAGGCAGGCAGTTAGGTGATGGGTACTGGTAAGGATCCCTCACTACAGATGCATCGCACTAATTCTGCTAATCAATGCAATAGCATCGGGTTGCAGGGACTGTAGGAATTGTCTACGCGTTGCACCAGTCACACGTAAATTTTTGTAATCATTAATGATTTAATTTTTAATGGTCTCGTGTGAGATTGAATTTTTTGATTTTTTCGCGTGTTGCGCAGTCTTTTTCATTAATAATGATCGAAAATGATTCACCCGCGCGTTCTCAATCGAAATTATGATTTATTAATCAATCGGAATTATCTACTCTTTTTTAGAAACTGGTTAAAGTCTCGAAAATTCAGCTTCAAAAGCCAAAACCCATGACCACCGGTCCATTTCCTGGAAAAGAGCACATAACGGAATATTTGAAAAAAATTCTTCCCACAACACTGAAAGAAGTGTGAGTTCTACCAATGGTCGTTATTCATTTTAGGGTGTATGAACGTTCATATGAGTTCCCCAGTTCCGATGTATGTCATCATCAGTGGCCAGAAAGTAAGAATGAAAACTTCAAATGTGTTTTTCTCACAACGCGTTTTTTCAGTATGTGCCCTTTTTCCGGAAAGCTCTTCAATTCTACATGAAAGTCACTATTCATTTCCTAAAACCTTCTACGTTCTAGGACATATGGTCTCGTAAGAAAAAGTTACAAAGAACATTATAATGATATATTTTATAACGTTTTTTCCAAAAATGTGAGTGTACGTTGTACACGGTTATAGGTTGAATAAAGTCTAATGCGTGTAAAATTGAAAAAAAAAAACCCCTAAAAATTGGCCGAAATGGCGACAATGGATCGTAGGCCCCCTAAAATGCATCACAAGCAATTTATACTGCTCACAAAACGTGGTCTCGTAGCTCAATATTTCGCTCTTTAGTACGATTATTCTCGAAAATTTGGCAACAAAGGAAGAATTTATACATGAATTTTCATTTTTTCTTTACGTTCTTTTCTTCAACGCACACAGTTCTCCGTTTAAATTAAGTTTTTCAGTAGAATTGTGAGTAAAATAGGGAAAAAACCCTGAATACGAGCGAAAAATGGCAACAATGGACCGCGAGGCCCCTAAAAATTCATCGGAGCCCTTTTCAAAGTCCAGAAATGGAAAGTACGCAAAAAGTTACATAGGAATGACCTCGTGAAGCTTAAGAAAGGGAGTGTGCAGACGACTCCGAGCGGCGAGCGGCACCCGGATTCCAGTCGGCGCGCGCGGAGCGTAAACTCAGATTGCTCATATCTCCGTTACCAATCGTTTCCCTGGGAGCTATAATATATCAAAAGAAATGGAAAAGTACGAATAATACATTGAACAGTTTTTTTTTCGAATCGAGAATCCGGCATTTGACGATGTACTAGGGTTGAAAAAAAATTGACCCTTAAGAAAGTGTGAAAAATGGCATCACTGCAAGCTGAAATCACCTAAACGATCAAATTGAGTACATATTTCAAAAGAAAGCAATTTTTGGAGAATTTTAGCGCAAACCGCACCTCAATATCTCTTTTCGTTCAAAAGATATGGAACTCGACGGTTTTCAACTTGGCAACGCTGCTACGCGGAGAGAAATTCGTTTCAGGCCTTGAAATTTTGGGAAAAGGCGTATCCCATAGTGAAGAATGGCATACTGAAATTTGGTCAACATCCATGAGGGGGGAAATTTTTTCGATTTTGCATACACCCCTTTGGGACAAATGTAGACAATTTGCACATTCAAAGTTCTCCTAAATTTTTATTTCAGTCCAAATAAAGTGGGAAATAGGGGTGAAAATGAGATAAAAATTTGATCTGCCCATGTTTCTCAGATTATGACGATTAAAACAGCTGGGGACACCAGATTAGACGCTTATTTGAACTTATCCGGGTATACCGGCATCTCTCGCTGCGAAGGATGCCAGCATACGAGAGTGGACGGCAACATTGATATGCTGAGATGCTAATGTCCACCAGGTATCGGCTACTAGCCGACTACTGAGTGCTCCGACATTGGCCTCCACAGTTCGCAGAACTTCCATTGAAGCGCTCTCATTGAGGGCATTGTCTCCATTTTCCATAGCACGGGATTTCCAGGGTGAGCGTCGGGCCGAATTTCGACGTTCGTAGCTCACGAGGGCCGACAAATAACCCAAGAAAAATAAGACTTTAAATTCGCAAGTTGTTATAGAGGGAAGTTTTAAGTTTCGTTGACACCATGATTATCTTTCACAGACATCAGAATTTTTAATTTTTGGATGATCATGGTGTCGACAAAAGCTTAGAAAAACTGTTTGTAGACACCATGCTACTGTACGCATGCCCCAAGATCCAGGAACCTTGAGCATAGCTTAGTAGCCGGGATCCCGGCTAGATACTTGCGGCCCGGTTGCCGCTACTAGTCCCTGGACGGGAACGAAAAAGTTAAAACCAAAGCGCTGACTAAGGATCACCTCCAAATTTTGATAATGGTGCCCTCTAAATCGTTGACCCCACTTACAAAAATAAGTATTCAGTCCAAAAAAAAAACTCAAACATTTTTAAGAGTTGCGCAAGGCCAAACCCCCCCCCCCCCCCCNGACCTTGGCCAAAATACTTCATTTTGCCCATTTTGAGGATTTTTTCTGCGATGCAAAAACTAAGCTAGAGCTTCAAAAATTTTACAATAGGAATATACAATGTTTGGGACTTTGGGTACTTTGAAGGAAAATATTTGCTCATGTCATTGTGTATCTAGTTTCATTTACAAACCTTTAAAATCGGCTAAAAGCGCGCAAACTTCAAGTTAATGTATTTTTGCATTCCCTCAACTGTCTAGGTACCTTCCCATCCCACTTACTTTTGGAAAAAAAAACCTTGTCTGTCTGAAATATATTCAATCAGCTTATCTTTTTCCCCTAGAAAGCCTATGTTAAAGCACTTGAGAGGAAAGAAATGATGCTATTTCTAATTATTTGGCGCTTCGGTCCATTCCCATTTATTTTTACAAAATTACTTTCTTGTTAAAAATTCAATTTTCTTTGAAACAAAGTCCACATCACGCTTTCTCGTTTCTTAAAGGTAAGTACCAATTTAATAAAACAATACATAAACACTCAATATGTTAAGAAGATGAATAAAATTATAATCTTTAATGGAAAGAAGAACAACATTCCGATACACCTATCGCGACTTTGGCAATGCAGAAGTTACTATTAAAAATAAAGAAAGGGGGGGGGATAGTACAATGAAATGTGCATTTTGGTTAAAATGAGTATCAAGATGCAATCAATGATACGTTTCATGTTTAAGTTAACTTAGACAGCTGAGAAAATCGTCATATGACGAAAATATAAAAACTTGAAGTTTCGCCGCTTTTAGCCGATTTTGAGGGTTTGTTGATGAAAATTGGGATACGCAATGACAAGAACAAATATTTTCCCTCAAGGTACCCAAACTTCCTATCGTCGAAGTTTTGAAGCTCTAGCTTAGTTTTATCATTGCAAAGAAATCCTCATAATGGGCAAAATAAAGTATTTTGGCCCAGGTCGGAGGGGAGGGGGGGGGGAGGTTGGCCTTGCACAACCCTTAAAAATGTTTTAGTTTTTTTTTTGGACTGAATATTTATTTTTGTAAGTAGGGTCAACGATTTATAGGGTACCATTATCAAAATTTGGAGGTGACCCCTAAAGTGGGACACCCTAGCCCCGACTGATCGTTCTAGGGCGCCATCAGAAACGTCGGCGCCCCCCTTCTGATACCAATTTTCAGCCCTAGCAAGACAAAGGTTCAACAATGAACAATAAACTTCATCGCATTAACTTTAATCGCATTGCACACTTTTAAACTGTTTCGTCATGAATAAAAATAAAGCGCTGCCCCTCAAGAGGGTTCTGATGTTCCCAGGGCGGCATCTTCGGCGCCCTCTTCTGACAGTGTTCTGTGTGTCCGCACAGGTCACCCTGCCCCAAGTCTAGCACTGCCCTTAGGAAATGAGCTGTTTCAGGAACGTCTATTATTATGGCCCGAAGTTTGCGCAGAAGTTGTATAGCGAAATGATTGCTAACGGTGGTGCTTTTGATGTTTTTACAGAGGCACAACTCGTATGCTGTGAAGTACTGGATGTGTGAAGCTCTATGTCTGATCAACGTGGTCGGTCAGCTGTACCTGATGAACAAGTTCTTCGACGGCGAGTTCCTTAGCTATGGACTTCGAGTAATGTCCTTCACGGAGCAGGCCCAAGAGGAGCGGGTCGACCCAATGGTCTATGTCTTCCCGCGAGTGACCAAGTGCACGTTCCACAAGTACGGAGCCTCCGGCACGATTCAGAAGCACGATTCCCTCTGCATCCTGCCGCTGAATGTGGTCAACGAGAAGACGTATATTTTCATCTGGTTCTGGTTCATGATCCTCCTCGCTCTTCTCATCGGGCTGGTAGCCTACCGGGCGCTCATCATCGCCGTGCCTTCTGTGAGGCCTCGACTCCTCCGCACGCGGAACCGCATGGTCTCCCTCGACGTCGCCGATGCGATCTCGAAGAAGACCGACGTTGGCGACTGGTGGATCCTTTACATGCTTGGGCGCAATCTCGACCCCCTCATCTACAGAGAAATCGTCACCGAATTAGCCAAAAAAATCGAAATCGCTTTCAGTAATCGCTAACTACAGCTCTTCCTCTCATTCTCGGCCTAATGGTATCGAACAGACTAGTTTCGAACAGGGAAACTTCCAAAGAAACTTATCATTTTATATATTGAGTTAAGAAGTATTTTCTGTCGATTTCTATGTATCTTTAAGTTTCCCAATACCTTTTGTTCCATAATTCGTCGTTTGTCAGTTGAAAGAACGTAATTCCATTTCAAAGTTTCAGAATTGACTTTAAAAAAATCATTTTTTACAAGATAATGACTATGGTTCCTACTTGTGTGCAAAATTCTACCAATTTTTCCGTAATACCAAAAGGGAAACGAATGAAATTTTTAATTAGAAACGTTCAGAAATCTAGTAAAATAATAATTTGAGAGCAGAAATTTTGCAACCTTGAGAAGTAGCTACGTTCTTTCATCTGGGGAACGACTAGTTGACACGAACTTTAATTTTGAACGTTTAGTTCGAACTTCTAGCTGTAGTTGAATTTTCAGATGTGCATTTGAATCTCTCGTCTCAAGCCCCTTTCCTATTTTCTTTACCATCCTCTTCTTAACTTACCGTCTATGTTTTTTTAGGTGAAAACGGTATGAGAAATTTTCAAGGAAATGGATTGCATTTAAGTTCTTGTGAGTAAATTTCGAATACCACTCAGAGGAGAGTCATCAAAACTCAAACGAATTAGAAGTGTTCCTCAACACTCCCACTTGACGCACTGCCACCAGAGGATTCCTAATGCTTCTTTTCATGGCCCAAAGTTTTTTGCAATTTCCCATTTTCGATTTCTATCCTGTTATTACAGCATTGCGGAATAGTTGAATCGTAAATGTTTACCACTTTACGTCCCCCTCCCTCCCCCACAAAACAAGCATAATGCAAACAGATTTCATCCATCTGCGCACAAAAAAGCTTCCCTTAATTAAGATGAGATTTTGAGCTAAACGTCCTTTGAAATGTGACGTCATATCGTATTTTCCGCTCAATATTTTCTCAATTATTTATACAGCTTTTTCAGTGCAAGTTTGATGAAACGGAAAATAGGTTCAATACGTCCTTTAAAATAATTTGCTGTCAATTTGTTTTTTCCTCGTCTCTCAATATCTCCCGTCATTAGTTCAAAATAGATATTAAAGTATACATGTAGGTATCAAAATATTTTATGAAGTCATTGAGTTTTCACTTTTTTCTCAGTCGTTTCTATCCCTTTCCTTTTTCATTACTTTTCTAGGTTTATTTGTACAGTTGTTCTATGTACAGTATCTGTATTGCATTAATAGTTCCAGTCGTCTAGTGTTCTCCTAGCTTAAGGCAATTAACATATGACTTGAACAAATTGTTGAAAGTTTTCCATTGTTGGCATGATTAATTTTGCTATATTTCAAAATAGCGGTCGCTACTAATATTATACAAAGATGCGAACATGGACCACCAGCGTCTGTGTATCGAAACTGCTATAGGAGTTTACTTAGTTGCAAGGCCATTAATATCAGCTGATTTCCCATGTTTGCCAGAAGCGGCGTCCCCCGTGGTTGACAAATCGATAGATGCGCGAGATACACGTTGATTCTCAGAATCGAGTTATTCGATTCGATTATTCCACTTATTTTAAGCGGGCGAGTTTTTGCGCCCATTGTAGGTCGTTAACACATGTTACTGACCGATCCCGCCGAGCAGGCGGACCTCGATTGGCTTGGGCTGGTCCTACACTAGAGGCATTATTCGTACGGTAAGTATGTGTGTGTGTTATCTCGAAAACTAATAAAGACAATGAAAATATCGGCGAAGAGTGTGTGTTGCGTGCCTGTAGCAGTTGCGCTGTACTCTCAGCTTTTGAAAAAGTCGTTTGTTAAATTTGGTTCATCGTCTCGAGAGTGACTTCATTTTGTTAGCGCCCATCTCTTGCTATCGCGTGTCCGCGCTGCGGAGTTTGTCTGGTAATAAGTACATTTTCCTACTTTACGGTCGTGATACAATTGATTTGTATAATATTGAAAAGTTCCAAGTTGTGAATAGGCTCATCCTACTTTTCAGCGTTAGCTCTACCTGTTTAACACCCGTTTCTTTACGTAGTAGCAGTTTTTGGATTTCATCTTACAAAAATTGCTTATTCCGTCGTTGCAACCATTTCTTCACAGCCTCTTGTAAGTTTGCGTCGGTGAAGATATTTGTTTAGCTCTGTGATATTTGTGAAGCTCTTTCTTGACCCATGGATAAGCTGAAAGTCCCTTGGAACAAAGTCCAATGTGAGTACGGTGGATGATGCTTGCCTAAGTTCTCTCTTTCACAATATCTTGCAGCATTGATCGATCTTCCTCGGCATCTTTTCAATCAATCAGCAACAATCTTTATAATCCCCTGGTGAGGGAACGTGCTCTTCTCATGAGTTCCGCAACGCACACAGGTTTTTGACACGTGGCAACTGTAGGTATGGTCACGGAAAAAATTATGTTTTTCGCGAATAAATGGACCAAGAAACAAGAGTTTTTGGGGAAGGTGAGATTATATCGGGGGATACGTTTTTTACAGATTTCAATTATCTTTATTAGTTTCGGAGATAAAACAAACATATACTTACTTTACGAATATCCCCAGTACCTATCTGCCCAGAGGGACTTAGATGACCTCCTTTTCAAAAATCTTTCTACCCCTAACTGGAAAACTGTCTACCGTTGAAGTGACTATACTGGCAATATTTCTACTGAAAACTGGCAAACCAGAGAACCATCTAGGTAACGCTAAGGTGACTTCACCAGAAAACCTTTTCACCTCTAAGTTAGCCCTTAGGTGCAGTAGTATTTCTAGCATCGCTTTTTGCTTGGCACACACCGGAAATTGAATAGTAACACTTGAGCCAATGAGCAGAGGTTCGAATTTTCTCTCACCCATTTGAATAATCTCAATAGCCTCGATGGTGAGGTTTTGGATAGCTTTTCGCTTAGCTTTCCCATGTAATGCGCTAGTGGACGGCAGCTGAGTGTCGGGCTGGGCAGACTTCGAGCCGTGGCAACAAGTACCTACATTCAGTTTACAATACAACTTCTGGTATTATTTCAGAAACCAATTCTCTCAATTAGCTAGATTCAGGGTATCTTCTGGCGGGGGGGGAGGGAGGAATTCCTTGCGTGAATTAAAGGCACCCATTTTTGTGCGCGCTAAGAGCTGTAATATAATGATTTAGGCACCGAATTTAAAAATGTATTTGCCTGAGTGTAAATATACTTTCACATTTACTGCCCGGTGGTTTTCCTACCATACATTCGTACGATGTTTTTTGTATAAATAGATCCAGATGACTTTTAATCACCATCATGCTGTATTTCAAAGATTCAGCATCAGATTCACCACGAGTCTCCCCAGTTACCCACTCCTTGCACCCTCTGAGCAAGTTTATTGAAACGTTTATTCACCTTCAGTACCTAGAGCTGTGATCAGGCACTAAGCAAATGAGTCTGTAAAATTACCAATTGATCATTCACAGACATAGAGCTCAACATGACCCTAGATCCTACATGAAACCTTCCCTAAGAAATTTACCGTTTTTGAACCCCGATTCTCCATGTTGGTCTCAATGTTTCGTATGAAGCTATGAGTAACACCAAGGTCACAATGCTCTCTTTCGTGCAAGTTCCTTAAAAACCATCTAAGTAGGGGCTAACATCAGTGGCTTGCAATTTCCACAGTAGAAGAGACAGCAAAGATCCTGGTCGAAAACAAAGAAACAGCACATGAGATGCGTAGAAAATACAAATCGTATTCAAGCAGTAGGTACATTTGTTTTATGCGTATTAAATTCCATGTTTGGATGCAAGTATTTAATACTGTATAAAATACGTATTAAGTATGGTATCCTCTTGTTACCGGATCTGATACTTGTATTTTGGCTACTACGCATTAGGCTGTGATACGAAATCAATACCTTGTCTGCTTGCTCTCCTGAAATACTGTTAAGCTGCCAAGTCACCTCGGCGGTAGAAAGTTTTCCAGTTAGCGGTAACAAAGTTTCCTAGATCAGCCCAATATCAATCAAATTGGGCCCACGTACAAGTGGTTGGAAAAAAACGTACACATCTTTGAGCATTTTAGCCGATCCAAGTGCGCCCTGGCTGATCTGAATTTGCCTGTGCTGATCTAGATCCAATGGATGCAATTTTAGCTGAAGCTCTGCATAGACTCACAACGGGTCCCCACTTATACCAAAATTTTGGCATACAGGTAACATTGCGAATGTATAGGTACCGAACAGTCCATAATGAGAGTAATACAAGGAACTGCCAGGTTTTCAATCATGATGTGTATTCTTGTGTTCAAGAGCTTCTTTTGCCAAGCTCCAAACTCTGTGGCCTTAAAACTACATGTATTCATAAGCTCCACCGCTTGTTTATTCTCTTTTATTTCATAAGTGTTTATCTATTCAGATTTTAAAGACTTTATATCTTTTAAGAAACGTCTCTCTTTTTTCCCTCTTGTTCCAGTTATTCAAGGCTGCTAAAATCATTAACTGTAAACTCTAGTGTATGAATTTATCGTGAAATAGCTGAAGCCACCAAATAGATACCTTTTTTAGAAGACAGAAATCAGTTTATCTTAAATTACGTCTTCAATGAGTCGATACTGGTGTCAATGGATCACTTGCTATTTACTTGCTCACCTATTGTTCTTAGCATTTTCAGAAGAAAGAAACTTCGAACACCAGCAGGGAGTTAGTGAATTTTAGTACTTAGTAATAAATTTTGGTCAGGTGTAGGTACATTTTAGACCTGATACCCAAAATTTAGAAGAATCATAGGTTTAATATCCGACAAATTGTTCAAACACGCACCAATTCCTTTGCTGGGAAGGCACAGAAATCATCCCACGTTACCGTTTTTTACCCTTCCGCCGCACTTTAGCCAGTAAAGCCCCCTCCTTCCCATTACCTCCCTACAAGCATTCATTATAATCTGCTTTCTAAGTCATTGTAATACTGCCCCAGCCATACCTATTAAATCGGTCCTTGAAACGTTGTTAATTCCCTCAAACGAAGTCGACCTAATGCGTGGAAGGGAATGGCGTTGTCTGTTGATCTATCCTTTGCATGTGCACCTGATAAAAATATGTGCCAGCACCAAACTAATTTTACTACTCATTCCGTAGGGAGCGAAATCAGTGGCATGTGTTAGAAAGGAGTGAGCGTCGAGGTGTAAATATCTTGGGTTTTATAAGCATGATTCACTTAATTGTTAGGCTGCAGCATTAAAATTGATTTTATTTTGAAAATAATTTCCATTTCTTGTGAGCCATAATATCATTACTACTTCATTCAGTTACTTTTGCTCACAACCTATCAAGAAAAAGGGGTAGCTGCTAGAATTTGTACTTGTATTAACAAAATTTATCGACCTGTTTCACCTCCCTGCAGTATCGTAGACTTCTATTACTACTTTATTTAACAGGAAAGCACAATGACTTTATTCTTGAAATGTAGTATTAGTCTAGTCCTATTTGCCTCACTCAGTATTGAATAGAAAAATTGCGTACTGTTTACACAACAACGTCGAACCCTGATAGTGAATGGATCAACAAAGGATTGCATTTTTTAATATCTCTTAATTCTTATAATTTGTGCTTTTATTTAACATTCCTTTTGCTTGGAAATCATTTGCATTCAATCAGATCCTATGATCCTTTTTGTGTGAACTACAACGTTAGTGTAAATGCTATGATTAAAAAATCGAACTCTCTCTTTGTTAAGAAAAACCATGTTTCATTGTATCTTGATTGTAAATTTTGTAAAATTATGGTCATTCTCTTTCATAACCTGAATAATCATTTTTCGAACATAGTTTCTACAACTTTATAATGCAATGTTAAGATCACATATGTATACTGGGTTATCCAATAGTCACCTACCACTCCTGTAGCTTTTTTCCTAATAGACATAGTTTGAAACTGGGGATGTTCTCAAGTCTACAGTAGCAACTTTTGGTTCTCCAAAATTTTGGAGGCGGTTCCCTCTAAGGGGAGCGGGGTGTAACTTTCTTTTTCAAATGGTAACTTCCTCCCTCCCTCCCCCCCCCTTAGCGAAACTTCATTCGAGTGATGATCAGCAAAGAAGAATGATGCCACAAACCACAGGTGAAAATGACAGAAATTTGGCATCTCCGTTTTCATTGACAGATTTGGATGGAACTCGGAATAATTGGGTTTTTTACGACGAGAAAAACGATTCTGGCATTATTTATCTGGGAAATTCCGTCCTTTTCTAAGTGGCGACTTAGGGAGGGAAGGGGATGTTCAGGCTTGCTTATCTATGGACTTGCACGAAACTTCATTTTCGGGGGTATTTTGGGTAAATTCTGTAAAACTTCTAAATGGCGGAGGATGAATGGTTGGAAATCGGTATTACAGTGTTCTCTGATGGAATTTATGAAACTCGGTGCCCTGGTGATTTCTGGCTCTATAAAAAATGACTATTTTCCATTGCATTTTGAAACGCCAGGGTCATTCCATGCCAGCTGGTGCCACTTTTAAGAATGACCCCCTCAGAATTTGATGTAATTTGGCACACTTACTGACCATGCATTTCTTAGTATAAATCTAAAATTTCAAGTTGATACGACCACCCGTTGGGCTTTTATGAGGCACTGAAAGTTCGCAAAAGTTCTTCTCTTTTGAGGGATGTCACCACTTCAGTGATGTGTAACTCCGGAACGGCTCATCCAAAATCAACCGTTCTGGTACCGTTGGAAAGCCCTGAGAAAGAGCTTTCCAGACATGTACAACAAAATTGGGCTTGACACGATAATTTTTCGTGGCGCAAATAGTTTTCAAAATAATATAACTCAAAATCGGACCTTTTGATTTCTTCGAAAATTTCGTGAGACGTGGATGACAACTTTGACTCAGCGTATACAAAATTTCAGAGTGGAGAATTGGTGGAGTCAAAAGTTAGAGAAGAAAAAGTTCGGAGATGCGAAACTCCGCCGCGCCCAAAGACATAAAGACGGAGTGCTCGTATCTAAAAGCACGGGGAAAAAGTGAAGCTAGGTTCGGCGCTGCGCGTTTGTGTGAGTGTGTAAATGAGCGCGGGAATCCATGGCGGCAAACGGAAATTTGATTTGAACTTGTCCTCTTGATTTTTCCTTATTTCTTCTTCGAAACGTGTTTTAAATGCTTAAAACGATTATATTAAGAAAGTTCGGTCTGCGTCCTAATATATTACACCTACTTTTGCTCGGTAACAGGCAGTAATCTCAGATAAAGTTAGTTTTTCTTCTGCTTATGGTGGTTCTGCAGGTTCAAACAGGCCGTTACAGTTCTAGATCTACGTTACTCCCAAATGAAATCAGTCGGTCGACGACGGACCGAAACTAACCTAAAGTTAATAAAATATGAGTGTGTACCTGAATTTGGGCAAAAATCAACCTAAAATACTTTGTTTCCGCAATTTTATTTATTAGTTCCCGCCCTACATTTGAATTCAAACTTGTCCCGATTTCGCCGCCAATCCTCTAGCCAATAGTAGAGGTGATTGAAAAGAAGCTCTAGAAGCTTCATTTTTTGCTTTTAGTGCTCCGTCTTTATGTCTTTGGCCGCGCCTTACACAGTCTCAAGTTTCGAGATCCGGGAATCGCCACTCAACGCGGGCCGAAGTACGGGCACAATAGATTCGTACGGCACGATCCCGGGTCTCAACGCCAGACTTCCCAGAACTCACGGCTCCGCGAAATTTCCGTCACCTGCTTTGTTATCGGCGCGTCGTGCTTATAGAATCCCCGAACTTTTTCTTCTCTAACTTTTGACTCCACCAAGTCTCTACTCTGAATTTTGTATGCTCTGAGTCAAAGCTGTTATCCACGTCTCGCGAAATTTTAAAAGAAATTAAAAGGTCCGATTTTGAGTTACATTGTTTTGAAAATTAAGATTTGCGCCAAAAAAACTTTTTGAGTTAAGCCCAATTTTGTTGTACATGTCTGCAAAGCTCTTTTTCAGGGCTTTCGAACGGTACCAGGACGGTTGATTTTGGATGAACCGTTCCGGAGTTACACATCACTGAAGTGGTGACATCCCTCAAAAGAGGTGAACTTTTGCGAACTTTCAGTGTCTCATAAAAGCCCAACGGATAGTCGTATCAACTTAAAATTTTAGAATTTTACTAAGCTGTGCATGGTCAATAGGTGTGCCAAATTTCATCAAATTCTGAGGGAGTGATTTTAGCTGGCATGGAATGACCCGGCAGAGTTTCAAGCGAATCCATTAGTGAACGTCTGTAATTCCAAGTTCTCGCCATTCTTCGGCCGCCATCTTTAAGTTATTCCGAATTTCAAAAATGCAATGAAAGATCCATTTTTCTCTCGCCAAAATACCCGCGGATATGAAATTTCATGCTAGTCCAGCGATACGCAGCCTTAATATCCCCCTCTAAGTTGCTATTTTGAAGAGGACTGAATTTCCTTGAAAACTAGTGCCAGAATCGTTTTTCCCGTCCCCAAAAAAAACCGATGATCCCGAATTTTATCCCGATCTGTCATTAAAATCGGAGATTCTAAATTTCTGTCATTTAGAATGGCAGTTTGCGGCACCTTTCTTCTTTGTTTATTATCTTTCGAACGAGGGGTCGCTTCTTGAAAAAGAAAGTTGCACCCCGCTCTCAAAATTTTGGGGCACCAAACGTTTCTACTTTAGACTTGGGAACATCCTCAAAGTTTCAAATTTCTTTGTCAATTAGGAAGAAAGATACAGGGAAGGTAGGTGACTGCTGGATAACCCTATGTATCGATCTAAACATTGTATGCTTCCATTTTAGCCCATTTTCTCCATGTTGCGTTTTAGTGATAACATGTGAAATAAGCTTCACGAGTTTTTAACCATTTTTTTCATTCATCTTTTCACAAAATCAATTTTATACTCTATGTTTCGGTGGCTAATTATCATCATCCCTCGCAGAAACTTTGGTTCTTACATTGATCTTATGAAAATTAGATTAATTAAAATGGTAAAAAACTCGTGTGACTCATTTTAACTTATGGTAGGAAAAAACCATGAACCCGTTAGTTATTTATAAATTGATATGTTTTAAAATTCATTTAATCATTGAAATCATTTGATTACTAATGTTAATGACGATAATGCCTCATGGAAAGATTTTATTTCCTATTCCTTTTTTATCGTCATCTCTGGAAATTTCCCTTTTTATTACTTTTTATATATTTTTGACCTTTTGAATAGTTGAGAATCACTCTTTTCACTGTCATATCTATAGAATGAAGTACTCTCAGGCGTGTTAGGTTTTTGTTATTTTAATTATCAAGATTAGTAAGTGCACGCTAAAACTTTGACTTCCTCATTAAAATTAAAGTTTTTTTATACTGACAGTTAAGATAAAAGGCTTACAATTCTGAGTGACCTGGCTCTTGTATTTTAGGCCTCCACAGTGTCACGAACGGGAAAAAAGTTTCTTCACACTTTCCCCGATTGCAAAGATAATATTAGAGACAAGAAAAAAGATCCTGTACTGGCCTCTTGGCGTCAGGTGGAAACTTCTACTTTCTGGGATCAACACTTCCTTATGGACAATTATTAGGGAGGAATAGTCATCATCCTTTTTTCGGCTGTTGACCAATCAACTAGGTGGATGATGAGCTTCGGGTGACGTCATGAGCAGAAAAAATTTCCCAAACTTCTGTTAGTTTGCAAAACGAAACTTCCAACATGTTAACCATCGACGTAGTAGGTAATTTAAAGATGAACTTCTTTTTATCAGGCCGCATTTTGTTAGATGATATTACCTTTCTCCTGATCACTTCTTCAAAAATCGGGCAAATCGTCGTTGGCGGATCATTTAATAAGCTTAAAACATGACCCGGAAGCCACGGAAGTACAAGTAAAGAAAAAATGCGCCAAAGGAAAGAGAATAAACCTCTACGAGCAATTTTGTATAGAGTCCCAGAAAGGTGAAAACCTGCTCAATAACCAACAAGAGAGTGAGGTGGCAACTTTGATAGCCCCTCCAATCCTATTCAGAGATATGCGCACGCACCAATAACGAACGGGCAGCTCGATGACGCAACGGCCGGAAAACCGGTGATAAGGACGCGAGGCGACGGGTGCACCTTTGAGAGTTTTAATAGTGTTATTTATAAATTTGAGTAAATTTTAATAATATACAATGTGACTTTAGTGTTTACCAAATCCAAGTGGCCTGATGATGATGTGTACGTAACATAGAAATAGCTATCGCCGAAAATCTGATAACAAGTGATCGGTAGTAGGTAAGTCAACAAATGCTGGAGTCCCAAAAGTAAAAGCTTCCACCATTGCCATGATAACAATGGAGGGTCTCTTGTCTCTGGATAATATTAACTGAAATGTACTGATGATCAGGGGTATGTCAAGGAACAAATGGATTAAGAGAGGGAACGGAATAAAGGAATCCGGGAACAAGTTGATCGCAGATTACGGAAAAAGTTCCAACTGTGTACCGTTTTCCTTTTCCCGGTTTGTGACATCCATGAATAGACTTATCTTATCTCGCTCTATTCTTTACCTTGAATATACTCAATGATCAAGTGTGTGATATAAATTTGTAATTTTGTTTTTGCTTTTAGGACAGTTATTGTATAAAATTTTCATTTCGAAGTGTCATAAAACTAAACACATTCCCTAAAAGTGAAATATGAAGTATTTGATTAAATTTTGAAGGAAAAAAAACATTTGAATGAATGCATTGTAAAAAAAAACATTGACTACAACTTTTCTTCCAAAACTTAGACACAAAATCAAATTTAGAAAATCGCATACCAATCGCATACAGGCATTGCATAAGATTAGACTTCAGC